TGTCTGACGCACGTAATCCGTCTGAATTATCAAATGTCAGAATAATTTATAAATGACGGATTGTCAAGCGGAAAAAATATCTGAAAATACACGTCCGAGATTTTTCCGATGAAAAGAAGTTCGGGTTCTTTATGAGAAACAAATTAAATCTGAAATTGAGACGGACATTAAACACTGTTTTTGCAGTGTTAAAATCATTAAAACGGTGAAATATCATAAAAAAAATTAGAAGCAATTACAAAGATGAAATCATAACTATAATTGAAGCATAAGTAATTAAATCCTGTCAAAATATCATAATGATGAAATCTCACCGAAAGTAACATATAATTAAAGTTGAATCACCCCCTTAATGTCATGAAAATGAAATCGTAAAAACCCCAACTGACCACAAAATCAGTCCTTCAACTCAAAATTTTTGTCCGTATCACAAAAGTAGATCTCGAACACGAAAGCAGACAGTCACGTATTTTGAGATGTTAGAGGGATATAAGGGTCATTTTTTCTAAATTATCCCTCAAATCTTGTGGCTCTTCAGCTCATTTAAATCAATGAATTTATAGTTCTATTCATTTTTTTAATTGCAGTAGATGAAATCTGTCCTGCAGCACCGAATTTTCATCTTTGAAATTTCACAACATGATTGAATTTTCAATGGAACATGAATATTCAGCAACAAAATTACGTTAATTTTCTATTTTTCCCTGATTTCTTCAAATTTTTCTGATTTATTCAAATTTTCACGGAATAATTGAATTGAAAAATTAAGCATTTTATTGATTTTCAGATTATGCGAACAGAAAATCAATGGAATATCTGATTTTTCAATGACAAGATTTCCTGAAATTTCAGTAGAAATTGAACATGATAAAAATTTCCGGGATTTGATGGGAAAGTTCTGACGAAAATTTTTAACAGGGTACTGTTAGAGAAAATGGAAATTTCATAACCAGTTGTTCAGTAATTTGGAGGAAACTGATATTGAATTCGATTCAAGGGGGAAAAATCTTGAAATTTCAGATTTCACTAATAATTCAATGGAATTCCAACTTTTAGAGCAGTAGGAAAATAAGAATAAATTTCTTAATTAAATTGTGTAAGAAAAATTTGACACAAATCATGAATATTCAGCGTCATTCACATTACATTCTGCACAGAATTATTATTCATTTAAATATTAGATATTTATAAATAAATAATGGAAATTATTTAAACTTCCCGAAATCTTTTTTTAAACCTGAAATCGATTTCTAGTAAAATTGTGAATGTGAATAAATTTGTTACTCTTCCAAAAATTGATTGTTTCTAAATTATTGATAAAAAACACTCGTAATTTTCAAAAATAGTAATTTTTTAGATATTTCATTAACCTCTCTCCAAAAGTACACTATAATTGTTTTTCAGATTAAAAAAATTTTTTCTAACGGTTCAATATCGCGATTTAAATTCAGATTTGCAAGGTTTAAATAATAAAATAATTGTAAAATGTCTGGAAATTTAGGATGAAATGGGGCTCACGTGAAAGCACGTGGAATGATGTTAAACTACGGGATGAGAAAAGCATTCTACTGGAGAAAAAATAGCCAAAGTACTTTGATATTCTTAATTTTCATGGAATCAATTATGAACGGAAATTTACTATTTCCATTGACCTACCATACAATTTCATTTGATACAATTTTTTTTCATTTCATAAAATTCATTCCAGCAGAATTATAATATGATAACAAAATTTCCAAGACGTGTACCGAAAATTTCAGCCCAAAAATTCACCAACGTATCGGGAAATTACCCGAACAGATAAATGCAATATCTCTCAACCCTCCAGCTCTTCAGCATCCCTGAATCAATAAACGAATAAATATTTGATGAACCCAGGACCAGAATCGGTAAATTAATCCAAAAAGAATTGTTACGAGAGATAAACATTCTCCAATGATCCATTTCCACTCGTAATTTCGCGTCTCACAAGTTTCCCTAAATTTTTCATCTCTCATCCCGCCGTGAATAATGAATTAAATGTTCCGTAGCGGCCATTTGTCCACCCTTCACGAAGCATTCGAGCAACACAAGTCCCATAGGTTGTTAGCGAGATACCAAGTGACCATCGGTTTTGGCTCTTTGTACTCCTCCTTTTATCCCTTCATTCCACTCTATTTCGTATCTCACTCACTTCTCGTTTTCTTCGCTGGGGATTTTGAGATTCCGTGAATGGGAAAAGGACCAGGCAACGAGGAGGTCCAGAGGACAAGGTGATAATTTGATAAGACATCGGGACGGGGTTACCATGGTTACGATACAAAACCCAGAGATACCCTCCACCTTGAGCTGAAAGGAATGAGAAAAACAGCCCCTTCTTCCACGCCTCTGAATACTCAGCCCCTCACTGTCCCTTTTTTCTTCTTTATTCCCACCCACTTTCACTTGTATCTTCCATCACTTTCGGAATAGCAAGTGTCAAGTGCTCTTGAGGAAATATAATATAACTCGAAAAAGGGAGAGTGGACTCAATATTTTGATGTTATTTCTCACCAATTTTTGAGAGATTTTCAAATGCAATTGATTTTCGATGCACTGAGATTTTTACGGAAGAATTCTGTCACTTAGAGGAATGATTCATTTGAATCAAATTTATTTTTATCTTTATTTCCATTTGAATTAAATCAAATAAATTATTCAAGTAACTCGTAATCGAGATGTCGTTCAAACTCAAAGTTTATTAACTGCATGCCTATTCATATTAAATGAATCGTTCTTTAACTACAAATTAAGATTCCATTTATTGGAAATTAAATCACTGTGTAGATGATCAAGAAAACGAATTAATGAACATGTAATAATCTTGTATTTAGACCAAGTACATCTTTTATTTGAATCTAATAGAGAATTTTTTGGAATAATTGTTATATTTATAACGTAATTTAATATTTCGCATTCGTAACTCACGATGATTTTTTAACGTACTTTACGTTTATTTATCCGTAATTAGCAACGAAGGAAAAAAGTTATTTCAAGCGCAAAATATCACGTTTTTTTCGTAAATTACGCATAATTAATTTCTAAAGTGTAAAATACGCTTAATGAAACATATAAGACGCTTTGTTTGGGTTTAATTTACGTTTAGATTCTCCTGTGTGACTGAAACCTTCAACATTTGACAATCAATGATTAATTAACGACCAATATTTCAAATGTTTATAAATAAAAAGTTCCCTCTTAACTCAAGCATAAAAAGCTCAAAGTTCATAAAAAACAACTGATTAACTGAATAATGCCATCCCACTGACCTCATAATTAATCAAATAAAAAAACTACAAGGGAAATCCAGTTCCCAACGAAACCCGATACTTCATTCCCAAAGCCAAAGTGAAATTTCCCACGAGCTGATAATTCGTACAGGCAGTAAAAATCTATTTGAAGATTGGTCCCCAGTTGTATTCCCCAGTCAAGAGTCGAGTAGACCAGACACCATGAGTAAAATTGGGGAGATGAGCAAAAAGAGTGGAATGGGGGAGGAGAGGATTTACAAAAGCGAGACAGAGAGTGGAGCTGGTGCTTTGGAAAAGGGCATTACGATTATTACCGGGCGTGTGCCATACCCATCCCTTGTCTCCCCCCTCTCTCCCGCCATCGGGAGAATGCCACATGTGAATGTGAAGCAAAAGAGATGAATTCACGGTAGCAGTGACTCCACTCGGGTCCAGACGCTCCGTTGAATTATTTAATGCGCCAAAACTCGTCACTATTTGATCCAAACTGACTGAATCCGGAAAAGACTCGGTGCAGATAATAAAACAGGTTGACGAATTATTTTATTTTCGGGGAGTACATCCAGAGAAATCGTTTATTCGATTTAAGTAAATGGGTTTGTTCTAGTGGATCGTGATAAAGCTTTCATTCAAACTTGAATATGATTTTTATTTGATTTGGTGCAGATGAAATTAATAGGAGTTTCAAATGTTAACAATCGTTATCTCGATTCAAATGAAGTCTTTATTATGAAGATGGAATAATCGTCGAGGCGGTAGAGAAAACGAATTTGATAATATGAGCAGATCCACGCGAAATTGGGGGGTTTATTTAATTTAATATTCACTTATTTGGGAAATAACTGCAAGAATAACAGCGATTTTCGGTCATTTTCAATACTTGTCCCACTAAAAAAAAAAAATAACCGCCGAACTACGTCGAACGACAAACTCCAATTGGTGTCAGAATTATTGTCAATTTACTGACGGTTTTTGGTGAAAATTTCACATTAAAAAAACAAATAGTTTTTGAGTAATTAACGATTGAAAAAAAAACGTTTTCGCTTGTAAAAAAGATTCCTTATGAATTCACTCAAATCGCTTATAAGAACCGTTCATCTTCAAGTATTTATTGTTTTCATGATTTTTTTGTTATGCAGTTGCAATATTTCGATATGTAATACATTCATGATAATATAATGCGCAGCGATAGTGTTAAATGAGAATTCATTCGAGTTCCGTGAACCGCAAGCATTCTGACATTTAAACCATTGAAAATAATTGACTATTCTCAAGTAAATATAGTCTACGTACTAGAAAATTTTTCTCTCAGTGTAGATCGATTTTAATCACGCTCTCCTGGCAATGACTAGTAAACTGTCCATGAAAGTTCTATTTTTTCTTCAAGGAATTCATTGAATTTTCAGAGAAAATTTGAAATTTGACGATTTTTTTTTCGCACCTAAATCGATTTCAATAACGCTCTCCTGAAAATTACTACCAAACTATCCATGAAAGTTCTGTTTCTCTTTAAGACGGATTGAGAGACAGAGAAACGACAATGATTTTGATGAAAATCAGTTGCAAATACATCCAACGAATAAATTCATAGTGAAGTTGTTTTCGTTCATTTTTTAACGATTTTCTCTACTGTCCCATGATCTTAATTTACGAAATTAAGTATCATGGAACTAAAATCACAGCTGATTCTCCAGTTAGTTGATGTACTCAGAATAATAATTGATCACTCACCTGTGTGGATGTACGTATGCTTCTTCATATCGCTCTTCTGGTGGAAACGTTTACCACAGAATTGACAGGGGTAGGGTCGTGTGTCTGAGTGGATGAGTAGATGAGTACTGAGGGTACTTGAACGCTTAAACGCCTTGCCGCACTGTTTGCACTCGAACACTTTTTCAGCTGAGTGCACTGCACGATGCTGAGTGAGACTTATCTCATGGCCAAATGTTTTGTTGCAGAGTTCACAGGCAAATGGACGTTTGCCATTGTGTGATCTTCGCGCGTGGACCTGGAATACACAAAATCGAAGAATTCTAATGAATATTCTACCATAAATTTCGTACCATAAATTTATAATTATCGGGCTAATTTCTTTCATTGAGAGAAACTAATAAAGGTAGAAAAACTGAACTTTATGCAGTCAGGACAATTTCAGTTGGAAAACAAAATATGGCTTTCTATTTGCTGTAATTAGTCTAAATTTATGGTAAATTTACAGTTCCATATTGACAAATTTTAATTCACCATTATTCGAAAAAATCAGATTATTAATATTATACTATTTGAAAAATTAGATCAACATATTTTAAACCTTCATTAATGTAAGGGTCAAATTCCTTTAATATTACAGAAATTTAATATTGATGGCGATCCCTGCTTCTCACAAGTAAATATGGTTTACACACTAGGAAATTATTCTCTCAGTGTATAATAATTCATTAGTTTTAATTCCATTTCCCGTAACAATAATTCATTAAAGGAAGCATAATTTGACAAGCTGTGAAAAATCCCCTTTTCCCAAAGCACAGCACTACGAAACCAAAATCATGAGAAAGTAATTTACCTCAAGCCCATGTGGTGTGCTGAACATTTTGTCACACTTGACACAGCTGTAGACATCACCGAGAGGATGTGGATGATGGAGGCCATGGGTGTGTGGTGAATGTATTCCAGGATGTGCTGGATGAACACCTCTTAAAAGAGGATGGAGATGTGGTGGTAATAAGTGATGAGGAAGCAACTGCGGATGGAGATAGGACAGTGGATGATGTGGATGAGGTGGCAGGAGTCCACCCTGCAGGTGGAGATGTGGATAGAGACTGATGCCAGGTGTGGGCTGGTGTGCCACTGGATTCTGATCAGGCGAAACTGGTGAGGAATTGCGGTTGGATGGTGGGTCTGGCCTCAGCAGCGCTGACACGCTGAAGCTGTCGCCTGATTTTCTCGGTGGACGTGTCATGGGTGATGGGGCCTGGGTCAGCGATGGCGATGGAGTCGAGTGACTGGACCTTGGGGAGGTATTGTTATCTCGGTACTCCTCGTCTCCAACCTCCTCAACGTCAACGTCCACCTCCTCATCCTCCTCCTCGTCCTCTTCACCGTCAACGTCAATCTCCTGATCTCGTTGACCTGTCACGGGGGAGGAGGGACCGAGGGAGGGGGAGGGCGAAGGACTTCTTGTGGATGGGGAGCCCACTAGTCGCCCGACACCGAATGATAATCGTTCTGGAAGAAAAAAGGTTGAAAATGAATTCTGTTCTCCGATCATTTTCGGTTGTTTTGAATTTTTCATTTATTGCTTATTACTTATGTTTGAGAATAAGATAACCTATCGGAATCTTTGACACTATATATTTATAATAATAGGTTGATACGTATACCATCTTTCGATAATATTAATGCTGTACGCTATTTTTCCATTTGGCATTAACTGGCACATAAGGGTGACAATAACTGAGACATGACTTGCCGAAGTGGGACATCGAAGATAGTTCTAGACTCGATTCTAGTCAGAGATCTTTGGCTGAAATTTTGATCAAGTGACAGTTCGACTGAAATTTAGAGGATTTCGTCATTGAAAATTCATAATTTTATGAAAGAATCAATGGAAACTGTAATTGTTAGTTGAATTATCCCATGAAAATGAGTAGAACTCAGAAAAATTCATGTAAAGTAACTGAAAATTTAAGTAGGGGAGGGTAGGGTAAAACGGACCAGGTCAGCAAAACGGACCGCAGGGCAAAATGGACTCCTAGGGAAAAACGGTCCACTGGCAGGAAATTGATAATTTTTGTTTTTGCTTCTGAATGATAGCAAAAACAAAAATTCAAAGTCATTTATGGTTTGAGGTGATTAACAAATCTGATCAAATTGCGGCTCAACGACATTTGTCGTCTATAAAACCTCTGTAACGGTTACGAGACCAAGAAACTCACTTTTAATTCAACACATTCAGTGTTTCTGATTTGAAGGAAAGAAAAAAAAATTACCAATTTTCTGTCAGTGGTCCAGTTTGCCCTGCGGTCCGTTTTGCCCTCTCGGTCCGTTTTGCCCCACCCTCCCTTAAGATGGGGAATTAACGTCTTCCTGCTGCTCAAAAATTTGAAATTCCATTCAATTTTCAGAAAAATTTGAAATTTCTCTTAATCCAGTCGGATTCATCACTTTTCTGTGAGCGACTGAAGTGATTTGATGTAAAATTCTTGATTGAAAATTCCTACAAAATCATTATCTTCCGCAATTCAAATCTTTCTACCCAAGATCATAAAACAAGAGCCAAAAAATAATCTCCTCCACTGGTAGACAAAAATTACTATCTGGATGGGTACTGAAATGAGATTTGAGTCACGTACACTCGGATATTTCCTTGAGGGTGAAGTGGAGGAGAAGACTCGTAGGATCCTCGGCTCTAACGAGGCAAAACGTTTCGCCGCGCTGGAGAGAGTCGAAACGTTGGAAATCGTGGAAATTCCGGATAACTCGGGAGAAGGTTAAACTCCTCTGCTGTTGGAGGACTTTTGACAAAGATTCAGAGAGCAAAAGCTCTTGATTACTTTCAACGTGGATAACCGACTGAGGCACTTATTTGGGAATCGATTTCCATGGCTCAATGGGGTGAATTTTTCTGAGGGGGAGAGAACAAGAATGCGATTTCATATATCCCGTCAGTCTATATCATATTTATAATCCGTGTGGGCGACACGCAGGCACGTGCCCCAGCTGGTATATTATATAGTGGTCCATAATTGCGTTTAAAACCAAGTGGTATCACTCCCCTGCAATTTTTGGCGCGGTGGATGATACTTTGGGGGACTGTATACTTGATTTTTCAATCATATCAAAATGTCAGTTTTGGGGTTATTTATTGGCACTAACGAGGCCGAGGGTTCTGCCAACAATTTTGGAGAGAATCGATGTGTAGGCCATATTAAGAGTTGTTTATAAATAAATAATGGAAATTGTTTAAGCTTTCGGAAACCGTATCTTTTAGACATACTAGACGGAGAGAAATTTTTGATAAAAATTATCCTACCGTTCTATAAAAGTGTATCATGAGTCATCGTTTCCTCATTTCTATCCCGAAATTTAGTAAAAATTAATATATGATGCTCTAATTTTATTCTACGTTAGAGGAATTTTATCCTGACGCATAATAAATTTAACCTATCCTATATGTTTTTTCTACAGAATTATATATTTCTTTACTACAGCAAAAAATGAATTTCTCTTTTTTTCCAATTTACTGTAAACAAAAGATTACAGTACATAATAGTATATTATGTCATTAGGGGATAAAAGTATTATCTGGCGAATGTGGCTTTATAATCCGAGCCGAAGGCGAGGATTATAATCACATTCGCCAGATAATGCTTTTATCGCCGTGTGATATACGTTGTTTTATGTCGTTGGGCCCGAATATCGGGCCTAATGACATAAATCTTTTTATGTCATTAGGCCCGATGAACCGCGATTCTAAACCTCGCTTCGCTCAATTAGATCGCGGTTTTCGGGCTCAACGACATAAAATAGCGTATGTCACACGGCGATAAAAGCATTATCTGGCGAATGTGATTATAATCCTCGCCTTCGGCTCGGATTATAAACCCACATTCGCCAGATAATACTTTCATCGCCTGATGACATAATATACTAATTCACGGACATCATATTACATTACCTAATAAGCAGAATGGAGGCTCCAAAAATCTTTACACTGGATTTTTTTAAAGTGGATTAAAAGTGGAAAATCGATTTCTTTCAAAATCCTGAATATGAATAAATTTGTTACGATTCCGAACAAATTATTTTTATGGTGGGAAATTGGTTATTCATAAATTATTTATAAAAAATGTTCGTAATTTTCCAAAACTGCTATTTTTTAATTATTTCATCAATCTTCCTCCAAAAGTAAACTTTCTCATTTTTTCCGATTTTTTAAATGTTTTCTAATGGCTCAATATTAGAATTGATATTCAGACCTGCAAAGTTTGAATAATAAAATCACTGTAAAATGTCCGGAAACTCAGAGTCCAATGGGGCTCAAATGCTTTAATGTTCGACTGCAAAAGTAGAAAAGCATTTCACTGGAGAAATAGTTATTCTCATCACAAGGTCCACAAAGTATTTTCTGACGAATGTGGCTTTGTAGGCCGAGCCGAAGGCGAGGCCTATAATCACATTCGTCAGAAAATACTTTTGGACCGTGTGATGAATGCAATTTTTCGTCAGAAGGCCCGTAAACCGCGATCAAACCGAGCGAAGCGAGGTTAGAATCGCGGTTTACCGGGTCTTCTCACGAAAAAACAGTTAAAGTACTTGGCTATCCATAAATGGAAAGCGGCTATTAATCTACTACACGGAGGAAATATTCAATAAAAATTACGTATCTTCTCCGTAATTCCGGAGCGAAATGTGGTTGTAGGAAATTTTACGGAACTGTCACGGAATTTTTCCAGAGCGTTCCGTAATTTTTACCTGAATCTCCTGTGAAAAATCACGATACCGTCACTTGGATTTTCTGAGTCGATTCCGTAATCGGTAAGCGAATTGTGAGTTCCGTAATTTTTACTGAACATTTCTCTCCGTGTAAAGTAAAAATCCCCAACAACTCTGAATTTCCTATCTGAGAAATCCTTTTTTACGGTTTTTTTAATCATCACTTCAATCTTTTCTCACACATTTTTTAACCCCTTTTTTTCACGCAAAAATTAAATGACAATGCATGGGACCCAGAAGGATACAGTAACTGGGATTGAAAGACAACTGCTTACGCAAATGCTCAAGCAGTGGAATGCGGTAAAAAGTCCAGCCGGGAGCGACGGACGAAAATGAGAATGAACGCTCGGCAAAAAGTGCGTTCTGCACGCAGATGTTCCCCCTTCAGAAAAACTCCCCAAAAAGCTGAGAAAGGAGGAAAAAAATCGTCGGGGAATTGAATTAAATAAGTAATACGTCCGGGTTTGCACTCGTATTACCTCTCACCCTCTCTCCCTCTCCCAGCATCCCCCAGCGTTTATTCATCGGGTAATTAAATTTTGATGATGAGCTTGAGCCTAGATTTATTGCTGGCCACTCAATACGATGAAACCAAGACGGCTATCTCATCCCTCAAAATCTCGAGAGAGGAAGAGAGAGATGGAGGCGGGATTGAAGGAGAACGAGACCCGCAGAAGGGAGCGTAGGACAATTAGATCGAGTTAACGAACAACTTTAATCCTCTGTCGTCCGTCAGACCTACCGATCCACCGATTAATGTCATCACAATAAGAAAAATCTTAAGGAGAACCAAGTGGAACGGTCCCAGCGATTAAATGAACTTGAGAAAAAAATACATTTCGGGATATTTTTGAGTGAGGGCTTGTCTTGGATGGGCTTGTCGAAATGAAATATGAAATATTATTTGAGGGGACAGATAAGAAAGAAATTTGATTTTTCTCTTCAGATTTTTTCCGAGTTTTTACGTAAAAATTCTCAAATGAGCATTTTGCATCACTTTTACGTTTTGTCACGTAATTTTACCTGAAAGTTTTTCTTTGTAAATTGAAAGTGAAATTCCCGATCCATTAAAGGAGCATAAACCTAAATTTTGAAGATTAAAATCTGATAGATAAAATAATGAAAATAATATTTGAAATAAATTCTGAACGGAAGTCAATATGAATGGAATCATTAATTCTAGTTGAGTTTTTGCACAAAAAATTAGTATTACCGATAATAATTAATCTAGAAGTGCAAAAATAACGCACAGTCCCATGAGGAGATTAACTTTTCGACGTTTGTAAAAAGATTAAAATCTAGAAAAAAATCTTTTAAAAAACCCGAAAAAATAACTAGATGAGAAAAAATCAGAAAAAATGAATGAAAATTCCAAAACGGAGTGGGAAGTCAAAACACCCTAGTCAAACGAGAGACTGTTGTTTGAAAAAATCATTGCAGACATTGATGAATGATTTTCTTATGCTGATCGAAATTAAAATTCCTGGAAAAAATTACCAATGATCAATCTCTTTTTTGCTTTTTGAATTTATTTGTTTTTTTGATTACACTCAACGCCTCAACAGGAGTTTCTTCCTACTACTTTAAATGCACCAACTCTCGCCCTCCTCCCTCCCCAATTAAAAAGCCCCCTCTCAACCTAAAAACCAAAACAAAAAAATCGAATCCTCCGCGCCCCGCATATTTCTATCTAAATCCTTTTCTTTTTCTTAGGAAAAATATTAAAATCTAGAAAAAATCTGAAAAAACAGAAAAAATAAATGAAAATTACAGGCCCAATAATTTGCTTCCATGTGCCCGAAATGGACTTTCATATCGAAAAACCCTAGTCAAACGAGAGACTATTATTTGAAAAAATCATTGACGAAAGACTTTAATGAAGGAATTTCTTACGCTCGTCAAAATTAGAATTCCTCAAAAAAATTACCAATGATGAATCTTTGTTTTGCTTTTTGAATTTATTTGTTCTTTTTCGTTACACTCAACGACTCCACAGGAGTTTCTTCCCACTACTTTAAATGCACCAACTCTCGCCCTCCTCCCACCCCAATTAAAAAGCCCCCTCTCAACCTAAAAACCAAAACAAAAAAATCCAATCCCCGGTGCCCCTCATATTTCCATCTAAACCCATCAATTTCAATTTCGTTGAAACTTAAACTTTAATGGCTTAAACAGAAAAATAAAGAAAAAGTGGTGGAGAAGAGAGAGAAGAGACACTATATTGGGCCTTTGGTCACGTGCGAGTTGCCGCGTATGTGGGTGCGTTTAACATGACAAGTCGTTACTAATTCAGGGTAGGTATAACTCTAGAGATCGAGGAGACCAACGGCGCTACAAAGTACAAAGGGACCGACCGACCGAATCCCTGTGTTGTGCCTCTAATCTGCTTCAATTGGGGTGACGGTCGACCGACAGGAGCGTTTGAGGGAGAACGGAGGGGAAGGAGGAATCTTGGGTTTAAGAAACGAGGAAGTAAGCGAGATGAAGGAGGATGGAGACGTATCTCTCGCGGGTCTTGAGATGGAGATTAGTAAAAGGAGGCATATGACGCGTGCTACCATTTATACCAATCATCATTGATGAAAGAAAAACCGACGTTCATCCGGGTGAACTGCGTGGAGGTACAGTGCGGAAAAGGGTTATCTGTTATCGTTGAGATATTTTGCGTTGATGAAAAAACAATTCAATAGTGGAGTTGTGGTGGGGCGACTGTGGGGTGATATGAACACTTTACTTCACTGTTAGAAAAAAAAATGAAATTTGATGAACAGTTGACTACCAATTTTCAGGACAGTGACACTGAATGCGATTTAGGGGAAAAGAAATCATGAAGTATCCCAGTATCAGGTTTCACTGAAAATTCAGTAAAATTCCAGAATTTTTAGGAGCTTAAGACAAGAATTCCTTAATTTATTTGAATGTCCAATTTAATATGAATATTCAGTGTCAAATTGCATTGTATTTTTAGTGAAATCTGAAATTTCATTATTTTTTCCCCCCTAAATCGCATTCAGTGTCACTGACCTGAAAAATCAAGAATATACTACTCAAGCTAGTGGTTCTCGTATTTTTTATCCTTTCACTTATTTTTGAAAATAATAAAAGTAACAATAAACAATCAAAGGAACATGTAATTTAATGTTACGTTTCTACCATGATTTTTTACAGCTAGAATTATATTATTTCTCACTAAATGATTGCTTCATGTCACAAGATAGTTAGATTGCTCCATAAAGTATCCAGAACAGAATCCATTCATTAGTTAATCTTTTATCTCTTTAAAAGAAGATATTTTTTCAATTTTCTATTCCTATCATAATATATATATATATATATATATATATATATATATATATATATATATATATATATATAAAAAAAAAAAAAAAANTATATATATATATATATAAGGAATAAAAAATGAAAGATTTTTTAAAAAGGAATATAAAACAAAGATTTGTATAATCTAGGATCTTAAACAAAGATTATCCTTGTTCCTAGGCTTAAGGTTATCCCTGGCGAAATAGATTGCTAACAAAAAAGGTGACACCAATTTTTTAATAGAGGATATTTACCAGAACTTTCTGGTTTTCTATTCCTTTTCGGGAAAAAATGGAGCAGAAATTTACAGTCCCGTTTGATTTTTCCACGAATTTCTGAATTTTCAATGACAAGATTTCTTGAAATTTCAGTGGAATTGGAACACGATAAAAATTTCCGGAATTTGACACGGAAAATTCAGACAAACATTTTTACCAGTGTTTGCATGGAAAAAAATATCCTCGAATGGGGTATACAATATTTTAGAATCAGGAATATGTATTCCTGAATCCGGTATACACTGAGAAAAATTTTTGTCTGAAATTCCCGGTACATTTTTTGGAAGTTTGTATCGAATTTAATGACCACCGAAATTTCACAGAATTTCATCATTAAAAATTCAGATTTTCGTGGAAAAATCAAAGAGAACTGTAAATTTCACTTCCATTTGGACCATTGTGCATTACGGTTTGCTTACCTGTGTTATTTTTTCCTAGTGAAGGAAGACTAGTGACGTCACCACTGCCTCCAAAGGGTGCCCACAGTCTTGGAAACATCAGTCTAACATTGCAATTGTCTGAAATTAAAGAGAACATTAGTGAAATCAATAGGATTCAAGTTCATGGGAAATATGTTTGAATGGCCCTATGAAGACGACCAAGATTGAAGCTATCTATATTATGGAATGAATTTGAAACATCGTATTTGAAGAAACCATCAGAGTTCCCTTTCAGAGGAATTTACGAAAAATTATAAATTTACAAAAATCATCGCAAAAATCAAACCAACGAATATAGTATTGTAATAATCTTTTAACTTCGATAGATAAGCAAAGAGGAATATTAGCTTTGAAGCTAATATTTTCAGCGATCATTGACTAGATTTAGAGCATGATATTCAAAACTATTCTCAGAATTATAATTTTTATAAAACACAAAATTTTTGAAAATTACTCTAAAAATAGAAAAAAACAATTATAGTCTATGGTCTTCATTCTCGAACTCGGTCGAAGACACATCCAAAGAATTTTTTTGAGCCATCATTCAATGGATTCAGAACATTTTCTTCTGAGTGAGACAACCGATGTTTTACAAGAAAAATTCAAAATTTCATAATATCATATGGATTATCATATATGGATTAAATCAGTAGCGAAGTGGTAAAAGGAGATAAGTCAATTTTGACTACTGACCAGTTTTCAATCAATATCTCGGAATCTAAGGGGGATGGCAAAATTTTTGTTGTAACCTTTTTTATGGAGCCGATTGAGTGCTACAACAAATGTAATTACGAAAATTTCGCTATCTCAGTTAGATTCCGAGATATTGATTGAAAACTAGTTAATAGTCAAAGTTGACTTATCTCCTTTTACCACTTCGCTACTGAAATGTTAATTAATGTTGATGGAAAAGCGTAACAATACCTAAAATTAACAAAAAAATGATTCAACTCCATCGATTTATTAGCGAATACACGCAGTTTTTAAATCATAATAGGTTGATATATCGCGAAAAAAATAGAAACATAAATTTGAAAATCCTGAAAACTTTCCCCAAAATATAATATCATCTTTTTCAACTTGTAAAGATCCAAAGATTGTCATTTTTTTCAACCCTTTACCTCACCAACCCTTCCATTTTCATCGCTCACAATTCAAAGAATCACGATAACCTGCGCTTAAAGATTTTCATCTCCAGAAACGGACGAAAATACCCTAGAGTAAATACCCAAGATATCTCTTCCCTCCCCAGTGACTAGGAATTCAACGTTTGGAACATCTCAAACAAACCCCCAAAAAATTTCGTATTCCAACTTCGTCGAAAAGATCAACCCCTCGACAAGGGCGTCTTTATTAGAACCCGGGTGTTGGAGAACGGGTGGTCCCTCAATTTATCAAGCCAGACCTCTTCGATTCCATTAAGAGGTGCCACCTCACTTCTTCATTTCCCATTGTTCCCCACCTAAATCAGTCGACATGATACCAAACCAAAGACTCCAACATCAATTGTTCAATCGTTCTTCAAACTCCTCATAAAATCATACGGAAAAAAAATTTTCTGCTAAAGTTATTAATTTTTTCTGGCAATTTAACTAAAAAATTGATGTCCTTCATTCGATACAGAAAGTAAAAAGTTTTCATTTTCAGGAACATCTCACTGATTTTTAGGAATTTATCATCAATTATATACTATCAGGAATATTATATTCAATTTATAGTTTATAAACCTGTCCATCCTGGGACGTACGTTTCTGATGTTGAAGAAAGGTGTAAATCTATAAAGCATAACAAAATTTCAGAGAAAATAAGAAAAACCACACGGAGAGAAATGTTCAGTACAAATTACGGAACTCACAGTTCACTCATCGATTACGGAATCAACTCAAAAAATTTAAGTGACGGTATCGTAATTTTTCACAGGAGATTCAGTTGAAAATTCCGTGACAGTTCCGTAAAATTTCCTACAACTACATTTCGCTCCGAAATTACGGAAAAGATACGTAATTTTTATTGAATATTTCTCTCCGTGAAATTTAAAAAATTTTAATTTTAAAAATTATTGGTCACACTAGACACTGCATAGAATGACCCTGATTACCAGTGATTTTTATCCTTGAAATTTTGGCGATAAAATCCTAAAAAATAGAGATGATTTCCTAAAAATCTGTGACATTACTCTGAAAATTGGTGATGATGTCCCTGATAATTACTGACAATATTACTGGAAATTAATGATAATGTCACTGAAAATTGGTGACAAAATAATTGAATTTCAGAATTTTGTCCGCACTGAATTTCACAATCGTGAATCCCTGAAAATTAATAACATGTTCCTGAAAATCGGCAACATGTCCCTGAAAATCAAAAAATTTTTTTCTTCGTGCAGCCAATAACAATTGGTCTCGGTTGAGATCTCGACCACACGGAGAAAAATATACTAGAAAAATTCATGTGCTAAGCACCATAAACGAGGTACAATCCGCACACTTGGAAAAATTCCCGTGCGGTACTAGAAAAATTATGGTGCCCCCAGTCATTTTTTCTGATGTAGCATGAAAGTTTTTCCGCTGCTACACAATAATTTTCTCAAGTGTGCAAATTGTGACTCGTTTGTGGTGCCAGCGCATGAATTTTCTAGAAAAGTTTTGTCAGCGCAGACGAAAAGTGGTGTTAGTAAAATAAAAACCAATCAGTAGCGAAGTGGTTTAAGCCGATTTTGACAATTGGCCAGTTTTTAGTGAATATCTCAGGATCTAAGGAAGATAGCTAAAAAAATTTCGGAACCTTTTTTGTAGCACTCAATTTTCTCTAGAAAAAAGGTTATTACGGAAATTTCATTATCTCTTATAGATTCGGAAATATTCTTCAAAAACTCAACTAAAAGATAAGTCGACTTGACCCGTTTTACCACTTCGTTACTGAAATCTATGTTGTCCAAGTATTTTCCGAGATATTAAAAAATCATGCCAAAAGTTAATGAGCAATATAAATCATGTCCCGTGTCACATGCCATTAAATTTTCCTGTTTCTTCAATGACGTCATTAACAATCTCCAATCTCGTCAACTTCTCAAACAAGGAAAATTGTTTTTATCACATTCTCGATCCGAGATTTTCCCCTTTACGTTAAGAAAGTTTCGAAGCTCATGTAAATTGAAAAATTATTCAAAATTCCACATTTTCCGATTAACTGCGTGTGTGATAAATCCGAAAAGTGCCAGTCCGCGCGCAGCCCAAAGATTGTAAAAGCCAAGAGAAAAAATATTTTCGAAAAAAGCTGATGTAATCCAGGCAATAGAAGCAGGATAATCCAGCGATAGGCCGAGGTCCCTCTGTCGTTGGCACAGATTAGACTGCACGCCGCAAAAGTTATCTCGCAACGATGGATTATCGGGAATAAATCATACCATTTTCCCCGATACAAACACACCCACAACCAACACCGCAAACATTGGAAAAGAAAAAAAAACTCAATCCACGTATTACTCAAACGTACACAGAGATAACGAGAGCCTGCATTGCGAGACAGTATGGTGCATATTTACGTTATTCCGGGTAAGATAGAGCGAGTGAAATGCATCGATGAGGCATATCTATACCCTGACACCTTTTTATACACACAAATGCAGACCAGGTATGCAGTCGGCTTAGTCTTCCTATCGCTCTCGCTGTCATAAATCTATAAATCGTAAATCCAGCGTGATTTCAGACATAACGGACAAATAAAACAAAAGACTATGTCACAGCTTTTACACCACGATAATTTGGGTTTCAATTAATTTCTCATTTGTCCAATCATATGCTTGTTGATGAATCATTCAAAACATCACATCATTATCGCGTCTAAAAATACTTATCTCGAATATAAATAGATTTCTAATAAAAAAATGTAGAAAGATGTGGAAAAAGTTATTTAGAACAGAAACGGTTTCATCTACACTGTTAGGAAATTATTTTTTAAATTTGAAGTAAAAAATCTTTAAATTATCAACAACGAATAATTTACATGGAATTTTTATCGATCTTGTTATTAATAAGTCAGTCAATTTTCGTGAATATTCAATGAAATTTGATTTCTCAGGTTCATACGACAATGAAAATTACTGAAGATTGTGAAAATTCAGGCAACTTTTCTTCTGAATTTTCAATCTGTTGAAAATTCAATTGAATGTATTAATTAATTTTCACGATAGGTTCGAAAATCCAGATTGTCCGTGAAAATTCAATGATCTTTCATCATGAAAAAATTAATTTTATTGAATTTCCAAGATGAATCAGGAATTCCATGAGCAATTCAGTTTGAAATTGAATTCAAGTTCAGAATATTGAAAATTTAACTGCATCTGCTACTTAAATTTTAAAAAAAAATTAACAGTGTATATGCAGAGAATAAAATCTCTTAAGAATTATTTTTAAATGTTATCCGACGAGAAAAATGTAATGCGAAATACGTTTTCGGCTAGTTCTCAATCTGAGTCGATAGATTTTCCTCGATATTTCCGAAAAATCCATCGTTTTCTGAGTGTAATTTATCATGAATAGTCCTATTTACAATTTTTTTTTCAAAAATTAAGCGAAGAAAGGTAGATATAAATAAACTTAAACTATCGTGGTATCCGCGATACCCTGTATAGCTCACACCGTTAAATAAATCTGCAAGTTCCATATTCCTTTAAAAAAAAGGAGGTAATGGTTTCGGTCACCGCTTTTTGCCGCATACACTGTAAATTTTTTTTTGAAAATTAAGTAATAGTTGCATTTGAATTTTCAAGGTCGTGAATTTGAATTCAATTTAAGATCAAATCGTTCATGAAATCTCTCATTCAGGTTGGAAATTCAGAACTGTTGTATTTTCCGCATTAGATTATTCCTGATAATTCAATGACATCTAGAATTTTCAAATTCATTACAAAAATTGAACTTCATATCCAACTGAATTTTCAGTGGATTGAAAATTTCGGGAAATTGTTGCTTGAATTTTCAAATTATTTAATAATTTTCATTATCATGTGGACCTGAAAATTTCAATTCCATTCAAAACTCCAGAATTCAATGGATTTTTCAATAACAAAATATATG